AGATAAAAAAAACATAAACAAATAATTACCCCCCATATCTGATTTATATCAGATTGGTTGGGCCGACTATTCACCGCTCTTTCTTTCCATGTGGCTGTTGGTCCTGAAAAGTTTAAATTTTAAATTTTAATGTCGCGCGTAATCATGATTAATCACGTGAGGGACGTCATATTCCAAAAATTCTAAAAATTATATCGCCACAAAATTATACTAATGATCGGCAAAATTTTGCAGTTGTCTCACGGAGCACGAATTAATTTTTTTTTATCAAGAAATTCGATATATTTGAAATTCTCATGCAGCAAAACATGGTCAGCAAAATTAATTTATATGTTAACTAGAGTGGCAACAAGTGGCGATAACCACCATTCTAATGATATAAACACTTTTCAAAATTAATTATTTGATCAACAAACGCGTACACTAATCATTTATGTATGGAACCCCTTTTTTTTTTTTTTTTGGAAAAAAAATTTATTTTTTAATTGAATCATTTTAAAGTGATAATTTTATGTTTTGTCCAATCAATTTATGTATCATCCGGTCTAGAAAGCTCGCAACAATTAGATCTTTAAAATTGAACGACCCACAACAAACTGCCTCGATCTGATACAAAATAGGTAAAGGCAGACAGGACTAATTATACAGATCATTTAAACGAATTTTGACCAAATATGGTTAATTATAATTTATCCGAAAAAAATGACTTTACTGAAATCGTAGTAGTTGTTGATGAATATGAAAATATGGAAAATTTAAAAAAGATTTATAAGAAACAAGTACTCGAGAAATTTGGATCCGAGATCATAAAATTTCAAATATACATATACTGTATATGTGTGTATATATATATTGTGATGATTCGAATATATAAACAAACTTACAAATAAAATAAAATTGATTTTTTTAAGTGTCTTTCTAAAATTAATAATTTCAGTAGAGCAAGCAGCAGCCAAGATTAATGTCTTTCTGCTGCTTCCCATACAAATCTTCCTTGATTAGGTCTATTATTATCATCATTGTTGTTATTGTTATTGTTATTGTTGTTAATGATATTATTATTATTAACACCACCTCCTCCTGCTCGATTATTATTATTTATATGATTTCTTAATTGTCTAAAATAAACCAACAATGCAAGTAAAAGACAACAGAATAATATGATAAATGTTTCTAATTGATCAAAAACACCGTCTTGTTCACTGTCCTTATCAGGCAGTCCCAAAGAATCTTCCAAATCTTCCTCTCCATTTTTACGCGCATTATACTTTTCAAGTAATTTTTCTCCGTCTGGTCCAATAATATCCCATTCTTTTCGTCCTTGCTTGGGACTAGCGCTTTCTTTTGTCATCGAGCGTATTTGTTCAATCGATCCTCCCGTTTCATCCTTTTCACTGCCAATCATCGATTCATCTCTCCATATCTTTTTTTCATGATCATCTACTCCACTACCACCCTCGCTTCCTCCTATACTATATCCTGCTATATATTCCCAAAAACTTTTTAAGGATAGTTTTTTTAATGATAACGTTACTGGTAAATAAGCATAAGGGTTGGCTTCTAATGATTTGTCATACCATCTCTTAGCAAGATTAAAATCCTATATGATTAATTTTATTGTTATTATTTCAAAAATAACAATTAATATACACATCACTCCAATAATTAAAACCTAAAATTCACAATAACCTTGGGAAATCCTATTCCATTTTCATACATCCATCCAATATTCCACATAGCCATAGCACTAAAATCAGCTTCTGCAGCAACTTGATAACATGCAGCAGCTTTTTCATAATCTGCCTCAGTACCAAACCCTTTGAAATAATAATCGCCCATTTTTACTCTAGAATCGACGTTTCCCTGATTTGCTGACCGAGTCCAATATATTAAAGCTAATTTATCTTGAATAGGATCGAAGTTGGGAGTTGAATGTGTTAAATGCCACATTGATTTGTCTTTTATTTTAAAAATTTTTAAAATAAAAAATAATTTAATTTTTTTGTTTTATTGTAGAAATAAATAAATATATATATTAATAAATATTAGAAACCTCTGTCTAATAGCCATGCAACGTTTGATTGACCAATCTCATATCCCCTTTCAGCTGCCAATAAATAATAAATCAACGCACTTTCTTTATCACCTGAAGTATATGCTTTATGTGCTTCAGGAAATGGGGAATGAAGCCAATCACCACGTTCTGCGACATTTTTATATAACTATTTCAAAAATATATTAGTTGTCAAAATTAAAAAAAAGTATTAAAGATGCATGATAATTTTACAATAAATTGACTTACTGCTGCTGCTGTAGTACATGATTGTTCAACACCTAAACCTTGCGAATACATTTCAGCCAAGTAATAATGAGCAAGTAAATGATATGCCTGACTTGCAGCTTGCTTAAAACATTCAAATGCTGATTGTAATTCGTTTTTTTGAACTAAGAATTTATATGATATAATATATTTGTGTTTATTAAATTATATAATATTGTTTGTTTATAAGTGAATATTATAGGTAATAAAACTAACAATATATTAAACCCAAGTTAACTTGTGCATCAGGATAATCCAAATCTGCTGCATGTTTTAAATATGTCATAGCCATGTCATAATTCTAGATATTAAAAAAATATTTTTTTGTTTATCTCAAATTATTACCATGTAATTATCTGAAAAAAAAAATACCTTATTAACTTCAACTCCCTCCATATACATCATACCCATTCCATTTAATGCAGCAGGGTTAGAAAGACTTACGCCTCTTTGAAACCATTTGATGGCAGTTCGAGTATTTTGTTCAACGCCTTCACCTCTCCAATACATTTGACCCAATATACCTGCTGCTTGTCCTACAACTTGAGCAAATTGTGGATTAGTTGGAGGTGGTTCATCCGAAGTTTCAGATGTCCAATGTTGATTCGCTACAAGTTTTAAATATTTTAATGCTCGTTTAAAATTTTGTGGAATGCTTCTTGTTCCTTGATAAAAAAGATTTCCTAAACCTAGCTATTTCGTCAAATCAACAAGAATATTTTATTTCCATAAAATATCGAGATTTTTTATAAAAAATAAAATAAAAAATAAAGATATATATACCTGAGCATTTATATCACCTTTATCAGCCATGTATCGATAATACTCTAATACATCATCCCAGGCACCTTGATCACTTAATTTAGATGCTGAGCTGCCAGCACCAGATCCGCTTGCACCATACCCATAAACACCACCATCTTCATCATATAATCTTATTTTCGTTGGAGGGAGTTGACGACCACCAGGAGGTCCTGATTTGTAATATTCAACAGCTTTGTTTTTGTTTTAAAAAAAGAAATTAAAGGATTAATATATACATATATATTAATTAACAGATATAAAATTATTATTATAGATTTTAACCTTTATCTGCTACACGTTTATAATAAAATACAGAATCTTCACAACTTCTTTCTACACCTATTCCCATTAAATGGCGATATGCCAAAGTCATTTCAGCAGCAGTATCACGACCAAGTGCTGCAAATGTATAATATAACGTTGCCTATAATCCACATACATGCATACATGTTAACAACAATATAATAAAAAAGGATCCTTTAAAACCATATATATATCTATTTTTTTACCTTTGCCGGATCTCTCTGTATAACATCACCAATCCCAGTTGCATACATAAAACCAATCATTTGTTGAGCTGTCGAATTACCAGATTTAATTGCCAAGTCTCGAAAATAATTAAAAGCTGCAGTAAGGTTACGAGGATGCGTATATTTTGCATACTTGAAATTTTTATAAAAATGATTAATTGTATAAATATATGTGTGCGTGTGTGCGCACGCGCAAATAATATAAGAAACTCACAAAATTCATGTCACCCAAAGTATACAAAGCATCATCGTGACGATATTCGAAGGCAGCCTTTTTTAACAATTCTATAGCTTTTAATAATTTTAGATTTTTTATTTCTGGTACTGGTCGTTTCCCTATATCTGAAACTTCCATAACTGAAGTTGGTATTCCAAGTACATAATAAACAGCTCTAAGAAAATATTTATATATCAAATTTAAAATATCAAGATCTGAATCATTATCTGTTGATGTCTTTTTGAATGGTGATATCTTCAATGAACGTAACAGCGTCAATGCTCTATGAAATAATTCTTCAGCTAAGTATATACAAATAAACAAAATAAATAATTTAAAAACAATCAAATTTTAAAAGAGTTTAATCATTAGAAAAGGCATGGCATACCATTGGCCTTATCATCATTTAATAAGTCGTGTTCTTTGATGTTTGAAGTAGTTGGTAAAGGTTTAGTTGAATGTTGAGTTGTGAATTCAGAAATTTCGCTAGTAACCTCCTCTGCTAGAACTTGGACAAATGAGTTTAAATGAAACTTATGAAATACGCAAACTTAAAAAAGTTTTTTTATAGGGATTTAAAATTTGGTTAATATTTGACAATCTCAAAAATTTTAAATTAAAACAAATATTCAAATATTATAAACTTACTAATTATAAATGCAAATAATAAATTTTTGCACCGCATTTTTTTTTTTAACTGGTACAATAATTTATCCTTTGACTATTAAAGTACATTGCAAAGTTAAGGAAAAGATAAATAAAATGGTTTTTTTAAAAATTTTTTATCACAAAATTTGTAAAATCCATCAACTCATCCAACTCATTTTAAAGTATGAGAAAAAAAATTACTTTTGATTATTATTATTATTATTTATCAAACAAAAAAAAATTACGAGTCAAAAATCGCCACGATTTGTTATTTTTATTGTCACGTGTGGTTTTTAAGGAAATAATTTTTAATTTGCTAGTACCTAGCTTCTTTATACCTCTATATAATCTTTGCACTACTCGGCATAAGGCATTACCAGTCCTGCCCGTAGGACACTCTTTAGTTATCAATTCTTAAATCGGGAATATTTTGAACCTAATTAAATCATCAAGTTATTTGTTGACTCTTATGAAAGATTAGTTTTGGGGAAATTTTATAAATTGGACCTACCGCCTTTCTTTTCCATTCTAGCAGCTAATCTTTTTAGACCTTTCCAGAATTATTATTTGATTTCAATTTTACTGTCTTGTCATAAAATCCGAAGCAAGGATTCATCTTACTTTATGAAACACATACGAAAAAGTGTAATATCACGTATTTAGAAAAGTGAGAAAAATAGTCTCGGTATAGAAAGGTTATTTACATAATCCCAATTAAAATTAATTTTATGCTAACTTTTAATGAAACAATCGCCTTGGACTGTGTATTCGGTTATTATTATCGTTCATCCATTAGTTAAATTAGATAGTTATATTGGTCAATATCACGTGATTTTCACCAAGTTTTATTTTTTGGGTCAACTTTTGTTTCAATAAGAGTCTAGTTTTTTATGCCCAGGTTCGTTTTCTTTGGTATATGACTGTTGATAATTAGGGATGGGAATGATTCGGTTCGACTATTACTATCGCGTTTTGATCTCAAGCTTAACCACAGTTTATAATTTTACCATATTTTTATTTTTATAATAAATGAAAAAAGAATTTAATTTTTAAACGTCACTTCATCAGGTGATTTTTTAAAATACCCAATTGAAGTTTTCCAATCCCATTATAAATATGGCACTTCTGAATTTCATTATTTCTAAAATATTCACCTACTTTTGGAGTAGTTTCTAATGATTTGTGAATTATTAGGAATTTGAACGATTGATGCTGTTGATGATGATGAAATGGATTCGAATTGAATTATTTATGAAATATTATTACCAAAAATTGAAGTTGAAGTGGTGAAAGCGCAGCATTATCAATCAACTCTTTCGTGAAAAAAAAAAAAGATTTTTTAAGGAACATATAACTTGATCTTGTTAAACTGGAGTTTTGAATTGGATTGTGGTGATATTGACGATGGTAGCAATAATAAGATGTCAACACGCAAAGCAATCAACCAAAGAAAAAAGGAAGAAGAAAAAGAATCGAAAAGAAAATATTAATTTTATATATCTAAATAATCATCGATTATACAGTGAACTCTTCCTAAATGCAACTCGCCGAAGACAGAAAAAAATCAATCGTTATGTGCATTTATAGAGAGAGTAAAGCATATAGATAGAGGTCTTATAATTTTGGACCATATCAGGCTTGCATTTAAAGGAAGCAAAACGTAGTAATTGCATCTAGGAAGATTCAGATTATGAAACTACTTGGAGGTTGTCCAATAAAATTATATCAAACACTCTTACGTTCTAACTTTCTACTCCTTGTTGTAACAATACTTATTAGGAAATTTTTTGTTCTCCTTTTAATTCTAATCGTGCAACAAGGGATTTTATTTACTGTTGCCACATTTGGTAGAAATGATTGCACCACTTCTTTGCATAAAATTTATAAAATTTGTTATAACAAAATGTCATCATCAATATCACCTTCAACAAGTAAATCACAAAAAACCAAATTGATTTCCATGGCAATCAAAACTCTACCACGGAATTTTGCGCAAAAAATCAGAAACAAAAAACATCAACCTCCTTCACTCATCACCGATCCCTCACTATCACCACCAGTAGTCAATCAATTGTCATATACTTCACCGCCACCTAATGTAACTGTAAAACTTCAAAATAAAAAAAAGAAAAGTCGACCTAAAAGTGGAAATTTCACGCTTACTACACAGACTTTAACTAATGTGCTGTTCCTTAGATCACGTAACCGGTCCTCATCTGCTTCTTCAGACCGCAATAATAATAATAATACAAACACAAGATCTTCAGTAACATATGAAAGTTTTCCAGATCCAGATCCAGAAGACTTCGTTAATGTATATTCCTGGGATTTACCGGACTCGATATCAGCAACTGAGGATGCTGGAGGAGTATTACAAATGATCGAGTATGATGGAATGTTAATTAATGGAATACGCGTTAACTAGCGCAATAATTTTTATAAAGTTGGTCACGAACTTATTTATTCCTCATAGGCATGGATTATATATATTTATACTTTAAATTTTTTCTTTGTATTTACTTTTTTTTTTCTTCACCTTTTTCCATTGTACAAAATTTATCATATCTATATTTAATGAAGGGATGCATTTTTGGATACTATATATACACTTATATATAATATACAAATATCATCATAAAATAATTAAAATCATAGTAATAGTAATAATAGTAATAGTATTTAAAATAAACAATTTAATAATTGTTTAGAAATAATTCACTTAATTCCAAAATTTATCTAATTAACAAAATCCTTTCAATTATATGTATGTATATATATATATATACAGATTTATGTTCTTTAAGTTTTCATATTAAATAAAATATTTGACATTATCATTATTTACCTATTATCATTAATAGTTCCATTCCAAGTTCTTTTGATCTGATATTTTTAACCGCAGTTTAATTGCATCTTAATTCAGTTCCTTCACATATTTTTAATTCTTCATTCACAAACCATCCAAGTTCAAAACTCATTATTATTATCACTAAGGAGATTATCAAAAATTTCATCATCATCATCATTGTACAAAGGTAGTGTATGTTTGTCTCTAACCTAAAAAGATTTTAGACATAAATTACACTGTCATTGTCTTAAAACCACCAGATACCAAAATTGTTCAAATAAATAAATAATGTTGATATATTTGCCGTTGCTAAACCTTATTCAATGTGAGTTGCTTACGGCCAAAGTTCGATCAATAGTTTTCTCAATGATTGCTAATGACACTATAATTTCATTTCCCCATTGATTATTGTATGATAATATACAAAAAAGGAAAAAGTTGAGCAAATCATTGTTTAAAAAATTTGATCGTCATCGTCTTGACTTTTCATTTAATAACTTCTTTATGTACTTATTTCTTAGTCGAAAACTTCTTTATGTACTTATTTCTTAGTCGAAAACTTCTTTTTCCAATTTTCTTTTGGTTCAAAGTAAAATTTTCAGGCATTCCTTCTTTGAAATTCTCCAAGTTTTTGTATTGTTGTTATACTGTTATATTGTTTCATTACTTTTCTTATCTCAAATTGTTATTATTGTCTTCTTTTGATCCTCTTTGCAAGAGTTGATTCTTTTTTGGTTTTGTATCTTTTTTTATTATTTGTTTTATATTTTTTCTTATGTGTGTCTCTTTTCCCTTAGTAAAAGAGAACAATTCGGACCGATACCTTTTTAATTCCTATTTCTTCTGATTGTTGAATGATTCAGTCTTTAATTTACTAATTCTTCATCGTTATTATTTTTTTAAATCTTTCCTTCTTTTGGTTCTCATTCCAATTTATCGAAGATAACTATATGGTTTGTAGTTGGTAATTTGATATCAAAATCATTTCTTAAGGATACGGTCTCTCACGTGACCATTTATTAGTAAATCCGGCACAAACTACAACATAAACTTATTATTATGGTTACGATCTAAAAAAATAGCAAGAATAAGTATAAATACAAAATATTCAAGTTATTCCTACCATATACATTGTTGTATCAAGGAATTTTTAAATAAAAAGTTACTTGTTAATGCCAAAAATATGTTTGTAAAGTTATTTCACCATTGTTAAATATTGTAATGAGCAATTTGCCTATAGAATATGCTATATGGGGAGTTTGGTAAATATGATATAGTATTTAAAAAAAAATCTCTTCTTATATATAATTAATATGCTTTTTTAAAAAAGGGTGATGAAGCAAGTTTAGCCAGTGCAGAACAGAAAGGATCATTTAAGCATGCACTTGTGCCAGATTTTAGAGTTGTTATATGAATAAAAAACAAGCCTATTGAGTTCGCATATCTCGAAACTGGTCAACCAGACTTTTCTGAAGATAAGCAAATACGAGATCATAAAAAGCTCAATAGACTCTCAAAAGATTCCATTGATCTCACAAGGAACCTCAAATATGAAAGATTGTTCAGGAAAACAGCAATGAAAGATGTATTATCGATATTTACTATTAATGTTGTTGGGGAAGCATTGGAACTTTGATGCATGGACCTAAAATCTATATATAAAAATTGCCTGCTTGAATGAACAATTATCCCATTACATATAATGCATACAGATCTGGAGAAAATTTACCATATTATTCGCACATTTTTAACTTTCAGAACTGCAATAATATGTACAATATCCAAAATAATGGATACTCGTGATGATTTGGATGGAATAATGTCAATTATATCTGACTCATTACAAGCATCAACATTAATGATGCCATCTGTAAATAGTTTGGCCATTCTATAATATGACAACTTTTTGAGTATGCAGTTGTCAGAAAATTTGTAATATGCAAGTATATCCGTAATTCTGTAATTCTGTAATATGTAAATGTATCTTAATCTGTAATTGGAAGCTATAATCATGCAATTTGCACAATGTAAATCATAAACTTTATTTATAAACCTTTAAATTTAAAAAATTATAACTACATTATTATATATTATTATAATCTTCAAACCAATTAATTCATGAGCTACTTCTATGGGCATAATCATCACTTCAGTCTCTTCATTAAAAAAATCCACATCTAATACTTCTATTTGCATTGTTTTCATTAAACATTTCAAAAACACAAGAATTAAATGAAAAAGAGTTTCAATTCTTAATCTCATCATAAAGACATTAAGAGATGCAGGTGTTTTTTCTGACACAATGGCATATAACTCACAAAATATAACCCAGCTCTCCAAAAACTCTAAACCTTGGCACATCATTAAATGAGCGATAAAGCATTTCTTTTCACTGTTTATGATGGATTTTTAAGAGCTGATTCCATACAACAACTTTTCATTCCTCTTGCACCATTTCTTGAAGATTATTTAAATTCAACAGGTGATAGATGTTATTCCACCTTCTATTTCAAGAAGAAAATTAGAATTGCATTGTGATTTTTATGTAATGTCAAAATTAACAAGTATTTAGCACAGAAATCAGGGAATGATGATATACTTTTGAAAGATCAATTATGTTATTAAGTCATGCTGTTGGATACATAGAAAGTGCAAAAGAATCAAATGAAATGAAACAAGTGTAATTGGTCTATTATAAAAATATCATGGAGAGTTCAAGATTGCACAAATCCAATTTGACATATTACAAGATATAAAAAAAACCAGAAGAGTACAATCAATAATAAAGCTACCTATTTTGGAAAACTGAATCAATATCACTACTTGATCAATATATTTTTGATGCAAAAACTTTGTTAAATGATTTTATGATTTAAAAAAAAGAAATCAGAGTTGATGCGAATTTGTATCTGGTCATAAAAATCCACATTTACAAGAAAAATTTTTTTAAACAAAACATTATTATGTATAATAATATATTTTTAATATTTGCTTACTTGTATGTATGTATTTATCATCTTCATCATCATCATCATATTATAGATTTAAAATCCATGATCCAATTTTGTTACAAATTTCAATTCTTGCAAGAATATTTCTATTAAAATTATTATGGTGAGAAATTATTCCTGGATTTTTGTAATTGTTTAATAAAGAAATAAAATCATCATCTAAAAAAATCCCTTTTAATGAATTAAGCAAATGTGGTGAAATAAATAATGGTGAAGGAGTGGAAACTGTAAAGCGTAATGAGACAAAGGTTTAACAATAAATAAAAATTTGTCAAAGATAATATAATGACAAATAATAATGATATTAGTATTTTCATAAAAGTTAAGGATATCATCATATAATTCCTTGTTTAAAATCGATAAAATTCTGAATAGGAGTCTATCATTTTTTGCTGATATTGCAAAACTTAATATTGGAATTTGTGATGAATTTTCAAATCCATGATCATCAAAGATTATATCATTATTGTCAAATGAATTGATTAATTTTATTGAACAATCCAAGTCTTTTGATTGAAATTCTTGTGATTTTTTATCCTATAATAGAAGAATGTAAACAAATTAAATAATGTAAACATTATAAATTAATATATAAAGAAATAATTAAACAAATTACTAACTTTTGTGTTTCTTTCAAAAACATTTAAATATTGTTCAAATAAAAATTGCAATAAAGAATCATTCCATTGAAATATTGATGAGGATGTTGATGTAAGTGTTAAATAAGAAAAGGACGGAAGAAAATTTAAAATTTCTTGTGGGGAAAACAAATAAATAAAACCAAAATATTAATAATGTTAAATGCTATGCATACACATTGAATATATTTGGCAATAGAAAAAAAATTACCAGATAAATAAATGAAACATTACCATCCTCATTAAATTTATCACTAGTTACAATTTTTTCTACGCACAATAAATTTTCTACATTATTGTCTTCCAATTGATAGCAAACGTGCGCACCAATCTCTGAACTGCTTGTGATAAAATCAATTGGTAGATCTATTAATGAAATCAAATTCCCTTGATGTCCTGGGTGAAGTTTATGGATTAAACTTGAACATGATTTAATTGAGGAGACTGAATGTCCTAGTTGATTTTTAAGATAAACATATATATGTATAGAAAAGATGCTTTTCCTAATGTATGAACGAGTGCACAATAATATTATTTAGTTGATAAAATAATATTAGAAATTTAACTAGTTATAAATATTCAACTCACATATTTTTATTTTCTATAACAATTTTCAACAAAACTTTGTCATTATTTTTCGTGCTACCAAAGCATAATTTTGCTTCCTTAATCTCAAGCAAATTCTCTTCACTTTGACCAATAAAATCTTCTTTGGCATCTTCTTGGTTTATTGGTGTTTTTTGTATGAGTGGAATCAACCCAGAAATAAATTTCCTGGGATATTTTTTATTTTTGGAAGGTTGATTACAATGAGGAAGAAACAAATCATTAAATTCATGGATCATTAAGTCACTGTTCTCCAATATTTTATATTTTTTATCGATCTAGTTTTTTTTTAAAAAAAAATAATGGTAATAATATTTAAAATATTTATTAATATTTTTAGACAATTAGATGGCAAAAGATTGAATATTTAATTTAATTACCAATTCCTCACTTTTCCTATTTCGTGAATTTCCATCATAATCTCTGGTAATCAAAGACTCAAGAAGTGCTCTTAAATGAGAAATATTTACCTCTTGTATAAATATTTATGAGTATGTAAATATACAAAATCAAAATATATATGGTTGTTAATTTTTTTAATTGGAAAGTTTTATTCTTAAAATAATACCATTTGTTAAAATTTTTGAAAAGTCAGTCTGTGAGTCATGATCCTGTATATCAATTATTTTCCAAGACAACGAGTGATTAGAAGATGTCTGAGGAACAAGCAAGAGATCATTATATCCAATCTTGGAGAATTCACCAATAATCAAAGTTTGATCACCAAAAAATTCTAAAATTTCATAAATACATATTAATTGTTAATAGTAAAAAGAATCACACAATCAATCGATCAATTAATAATTTACCATGCAAGATCATCCCATTTTCAGAATTCATAATTATTAGATTATAATTTTCCAATTGGATAATTAATGCAATGAAATCTGTATTTATAGTCGATACATTTATCTTGACTTCAGTTCTATAAAATCATTAAAATTGCAAAGAAAGAATTTTTTATTTACAATAATGAAAATCTAAATTAATTGAAAATGTAACTTACATCTTTTTAGGCACACTGATGACATCCACACACCATTTTGGACTTATGTATTGCTGATTATTATTATTTTTGAAACATATAACTTGATTTTGAGAAGTACCTAGCCAAACAATTTCTTCATTGGTTATTTCATCAGAAAACGACAAACAGGTCATGATTCTCAGATAACACTCGGGAATTGTTGGTAAAAAAGTAGATTCTGATTTATCAGGACTTTCAAATAAACATGCTTTAATGTAATCATTGAACAATGGGCTATAAATTACACTTAATGACTTATACAAGTCATCATAATGATTGTGTGGTAGTGTGAAACCATAGACATGTTTTGTTGACAATTCTAGTATGTACTTGTCATTACAAGATAATTTTGGTTGCCATAAAACTATGTAAGTGTTGTAATTTGCCTCAAATGAATCAAAAATGTCAGAATGATTTGTTGAAATGTCATGGTATACAAATATAATACTGGGGCCATCCAAAATGATAAAATCTAGGAATGATAATTTTTTTATGATTACTTGTGATTATTTATTTTTGAAATAAATAATCAATCCATCAAATAATTAATTGAAAATGACTTGCCATAAAATGATTTTTTGGGTGATAGTTCAGAATTTTCCAATTGAATTTCCCAATATTCTGCTTCATTCCCAATTTGATGTAATTGGAAATAAGTCTTATTTGAATCACTAATTAACAAATAAGGAGAATTTCTTTTTATTTCAAGAAAAAAGAAAAAATATTTAGAGAAGGATAAAAATGTTTTGATCAAAGTATGAAATTATATTTGTTTTTTACATTGCAAATTCAATGTCACTTGTAGTAAACAATGAAATAACAACAAAATTAAAATTAAATCGTTCATACTAAAATTTTATTTATAAAGTATTATTTTATTATTTTATATTATGTGATTTGCAATATAGCTTGGAAAAAAAAAAAATTTTACTTACTGGCAATGAAATTTTGGTTTCACCATGTTTAAGCCAACTTAATTGTTGAGAATTTCTGTCAACGGAAAAATATTCAACTACAACTGAATATTTGACATTTTCATCCACAAAGGTTCTTATGACGAAATCTTCAAAAACTGTGTATTTAAACTGTTTCAAATAATCATCAGTTGTAAGAGAAGCCAAAGGATAATAATGCATTTTCATTTTTTTTTTTTTTTAATGACGACACGTCGCGCGAGTAAAAGTGGGGTTATAGGAGGACTGGTTTTTTTTAAAAAAGGGTACATTTTAGGAAAGTAGATCAATATAAATTTGTTAAATTTGTTGGGATTTTAAAAATCATATTTTATCTCCCGACAAAGACTTCATCATGGGATTTTTCAATGGGTTGTTTTCATCTTACAGCTCTCTATATAACTACCCTTTCTATATAACTATAACAAGCTTCTCGTTACAATTTTTATGATGTAAAATCTTAAAAATTTTTGTGATGACGATCCTTTTCATGCTTCCGAAAAATTGTTTTTCAATCAAAAATTGTGATTTAACAAAATATTTGATTTGCTTGATATTAAATGTTAAATGTTCAATGTTTAATGCTATACAATACTTTTAATTCAAATCTTATACTGTATATATAGTTTTTTATTATTTTAATTCCAATTTAATTCTGTTTCTTTTTCAGTGGTAGAATGTAATGCCGATTTTAATGAACCTTGAAATCATCAAATCATGAAAAAAAAAATATCTTAATATTGTTCGTTATCACTAAAGCAGCACCTACGGTATTCGGGAGGATGGCTTACTTGATACCCTGTTACCATTATTTTTACCACTATTTGGTTATCTTTCTTTCTCCAAGGATTTGAAAGCCACATGCTTCGCATCAGTTTCTGTAAAGTTTACTACAAATTATACATATTTTTTGCCTCTTTGAAGCAATATCGAGCCTAATACTAATTGGAAGATGGTGTTGTAAATTTCATATATATACGATAATTGTGTTAATTTATGACAAATTGGAAACAAAAGCAGACAATATGGACTTTGATGGAAAATAAGAAAATGAAAAAGATTTAGAAGAAAATAAGGAAATTGAAGCCACAACTAACCTTGAAAAAGATCAAAGGTATAAATACAAAATTAAAACGAGCAAGCAATTTATTAATATTAAATATGCATTTTTTATTCTAGTAACAAGTTATTATTTATTCAGATTTCGCACATGTACCTTTCAATACATGCTTAGTTTTGGTTTTTCTAGGTGAAAATCCACAAATGAGATGTTGTCATGGATTATCGTTATTTCAATAATATCATTAATCCGTTATTAAATATGGCTTTGAAATGAAAAGGAAAATAATTTTGCGCAAAAATTCATATCCAAGAAGAATAAAATAATCAAGATGAACAAGATAAATGGAACAATTACATTTGGCTTTCATGCAGTCTTTTCACTGCTCTATTGGTTTCTTTGCATATTTAGAACTCGCTTTCTAGTTTGATTTGAACAGTTATTTAAGTAAATTATTGTGAAATGCATTAGCATTAGATATCAACCTTGATATTTTTGGACCTTTTGCAATAAGATAACACACAAGTTTCGCCACCAAAAGTGACAAATCATCATGAAACTAAAGAAATCGAAATAATAATAATAATAATTGATAATAATGATAATGATAATAATGATTATGATTATTAATAACAAATAGTGATATAAATTTTATACGTATCTGAATAATTTTCTGTTAATATATTTTATTCAGTAGAGCGATAGATGAAAATAAAAGATCAGGGGAATAGTTCATAGTAAAAAATATTACCTCATAATTGTAACTTTGGAAAACCTTCCAAAAAAATATTATATTTTGGGTAAATAGAATGAATAAAAAATTATTTCGTTGACTTTTAATGAAAGGATTCTAATACTCATAAAATGCGTTAATTTAAAACTCACATTGGTAGGTATTTAGAGCAACTTTTACATATATACAAACTGTGCGTAATAGTAAATAGCGGTAATAATAAAATAAAACGGTTTCTGAGTTTGAAACGGTCAATATTAGTACTTCTACATAGCATATAATACAGAAGTTGGTTGTTCTTTAAATAATGCAATTTTTATACATATGTACTATCGACAACACAGAAATTGATAGAAAACCTTCAAAATTCCAACTTTCTACATAGCTTTCCTTTTTTTTTAATATAATGCAAATGTTTTTTTTTTGATTTCCATGTTTTTTCTATTGTTTTGCATAAAAACTTGGAGTGTATAACAATTTAACAAATTAACAAACGTCAATTATTATTTTTTTAATTAATAAATAAATATATTTATATATAAATCTCCGCTTCATATATTTTACATTCCTTTTTTTAGTGATTTTTGTGAAGAAAAATAAGCGACAAATATTTTTAATAACAATCTATTTAAATAAGGGTTTCTGAAATTTTATCTGCTAAATGTAAAACCAAGGCCTTCTAAATCGAGACACGCTATAATAATAAAATAATACAATAATATTAATTAGGTGACTTGTAACAGCCTTTTCTTTGATAAAAACTCCACGTTCAGTTCTTTAATAAACTTACCATCAAGAAGAAGATGATCATTTTTTCTCTGAGCATAAAAATCATTATAACAAACATTTTTCTCTTCTTTGTTTATGGAAGGTTCGAGATGATCAGAAGGTCTTTGAATATCTTGGTCATTAAATGAGTTGGGTGTTTCTCCATTATGAGCATATCCACAATCTACTTTGTGTGCCTCTTCTTCCCAACCACTTGATAAATGCGCACTTACTGAAGATAATGCTGCTTGGAATATTAAGCCTATGCCCATACCTTTGATCAGAGAAGCACCAGTAGAAGCACCAACTTTTACAACATGTTTACCTGATTCAGTAGCACCTATTTTTAAAACTTTTTTTACTACAACTTTGCCTCCTTCTTTTGCTATTTTTTCAGCTGTCTCTTGAGAAACAATTTTAAGAGTGCCTTTAGATGCCTCTTGCATTGCTATCTTACTACCTTCTGTTATAACGAATGGATTTTGCCACCACCACCCCTTTGAGACTAATTGCTTTGCCCCCTCCTTCATAGTTATTTGGGCTGATTGTTGTAAAATCAGTTCCTTAGCTGTCGCTTCAGCAATAATACCTCCTGTGGCTGCTGCTATTCCTGTTCCTATTGCTCCTTTAGTAGATTCAATACCAAATTCATTACACCCTCTAATCTCAGGAATTACCATTTCATTAATGTATACCCCACGATATTTTACATTTTCACCACCTTCACCTGGTTCCCCTCCTGTCCCATTTACACCTTTCTTACTCTCTACTTTAGAAATAGCCGGAGTTCCAGATAATTGAAATGGACTATCAATGACTACAAAGCCAGGGTTCCCTTCAAAGCCTCCTTCCCCTCCTTGTCCACCATTTCCTCCTTTATGTCCTGGATCATAACTTACAAATGTTTCTTTAAATATATTATTAAAGGTGAAAAGAAATTTAAACCCCTTTACTATGATGTCTTCTATTACTTTTATCCTTGAATCAAGAGCAGATTTATCTCTACTTTCTACAATTTCTTTTCCAATATGTGAACCATCCAGTCCATTGCCACCATTACCACCATCTTGACCTTGTCCACCATCTCCACCACTAACATCAATAGTTAAGGAAGAAAGATTGAAAAATTTTTTTCCTTTGGCATAGAAATCCCCTCCATTTTTACCAGGCAATCCAGGCAACCCAGGTAATCCATCTTCTCCATCTCTTTCATCAATTGGTTCACTATTTCCATCGTTTTCATCAATTGGTTCACTATTTCCATCGTTTTCATCAATTGGTTCACTATTTTCATCGTTTTGATCAATTAGTTCTTTATTTATATCTTTTTCATCAATTCCTTTACTTGGTTGGTGCTGAGCACCAGGTTTACCTTTTAAACTAATTTTTCTTTTGCCTACAACATACCAATTGGGAGACATTAATGTCAAATTAACTCCTGGTGCAATTATATCTTCATCAATAAATAAACTATTCAAGCTATACACATTTATTTCAGATAGTTCTTGACCTTCCATAGCATCATTAATATCCTCAGCTCCAATAATTAGGCCTTTGAAAGTTAACTTGTATTCTTGTTGATATTTTTCAGGTGGAGATGTTAGCATACCTATGTCCTGATACCAGCTACTAGTATTGTCTTTAATTTCAAGTGATTCTGGTTTAATAAGCTTAATGAATTTTAATTGTAAAATTTTTTTATCAAATTCCTCTTCAAGTTCTTTTCTTTGGAAGAGTTTAGTGATTGAGGAAATTTGACAAAGATTATTTTCAAACTGTTGTGGTTCATTAGATATTTTGTTCAATTGATCACAAAAGTACTTTAAAGACTGAGACTCTCTCAATTCTTTAACTGTGCCTGAATGATTGTCTATTAATTTATCAAGGTAGTCTAGAATTCCTGGATAAAATTTATGTATCATAAAATTTTCTATGTCATCATTAAGCTTATCTGCTAGACCTTTGATAAGATTTTTTGACTCAGGAGCAATAGAAATACTAGGCTCTGGTTTTTCCAAATAAGGAATCTTTTTTATACCTTCCAAGATTTGAGATCTACCCTCACCAGAAATAAGACCTTCTTCTGTAGGTGCATTGAAAAAAACAATTTGACTTTCAGGGGAAGATAAAGAACCAAGTATTTTTTTTTGAGTTAGACTGAAATTTTCTTGGCCATCCTGTTCCTCAAGAATCTCAAGCAAGCCACTTCTCATTTTCTTCAAGTTAAGAGTCTCATTTTTTGTTACTACCAGACATAACCCTTGAACTAACTTATTCTCATCCATGTTTTTAAAAGTTTCTCCTACATTATGAATAAGATTTAAGAAGCTCCTACTCCTTGACCCTGTAATTGTAGTCTCAGAAACAGTGACCAAAACCTTTATTTTCTTTGCACTCTTGATTAACTTGTAAATTGAATAGGCATTTACAATATCCTGGACCTCACCACGTGTATCCCCAAAACCAGGACAATCCCAATACTCTTTCCAACCTGATGGCAAAGAAGTTTTTGAAACACTTCCATTGGTAATCTCACTATCTCCTAGAGGATCTTCAGCATAAATAACAAACCTACCAAAACCTTTTCCCTTTTTACCAAACAGGGGAACTTCAGCTAAATAGTTTAAGAGAGAACTTTTCCCTTCTCCTGTGTCACCAATAATTATAACCATCTCTTCTTGTTGTAAAGGAATTTTTTCATTTATTTTATTAATATGTTGATAGATTTCTTCAATTTTACTTGTTGACATTTGTAAAAATTATAACAATAATTTAATTATCAAACTAGTATTAACAAAAACAAAAACGGCTATATTTAAAAAGATGTCTTTTTCAAAACTTTCAAGTCAATGAAATAAGTTATTATATGATTACAAAATTATAAAAATGGAAAAAATGGTATATAAACTAAAACCACGCTAAGTTTTTAGATTTATTTATTCAAATAAATATTAATTCAGTGGGCATTTCTATTAATATTAAGATTCAGTCTTTGTATATAATGATCGGCGACCATTGTTAGAAACTATTGCTATATGGATAAAACAAGTTTTTAAAGTTTTAAACCGAAAACGTAACAGTGACTTTTGCGAAATTTTAATCAACCAATCAAAATTTCATGCATCCTTAAAAAACGCATACAGTTCTCTCTCTTTATAACGAACACTAAGTAAACTCTACAAATAACTTCCCTTTTGTCCTGATTCATTTTTTTATAATTAATCTCTCTCTATAACGAACAAATGCAGAAAAATTACATATAGGGACGGAAGATTCGCTATAGAGAGTGTGAACTGTATATATGATATCAATCAAGACTTGTACCTTTCTTTTAGAAACTTAATCTTTTACAGATAAAAAAAAACGGATTGTGCCAAGTCGCGAAATGCATACTAGAATCCAGTTTCATGTTGGCTTCAGCATCTAGCTCAGTAACATCGCCTTCTTTTATAAATTGCACTATTTAATTCATCCAATAAATATAATGTTCTTTACAAAAATTATTTTTCATTTTCAAAAAGCTCATTATATTCTTTGACTTTCTCTTTCAGAGTTGGTCAGAGCATTGTTATACATTCCATGATTAATTTTATATACAACGTCCCTTATTTCTGATGGTAATAATTTATTAAATGACATTTTAATATCTTTTTATAAATTTATTTTGGAAAAAGGTGAAGTCGAAAAAGTTTTTTTTGAGAATAGTAATTTTAATTTTTATAAGCAATTTTATTGAAAAAGATTTAAATGTTCATCTGCACACTTCCACTTAACACAGGTTTGGTGTGCTTTTTTGGCTCAAATCTTCTTGGAGAAGGATCAAGTATAAAATGTAGTGATATATATATATAAGACGGGATGCGAAATATTTAAGCCGTTTATTCTTTGTGATTTAGATGGGTTGATTCCACTTTTTTGTTATTGTCGCCTTCAAACAAGAGTTTGTTTTCGTATGTCATTTTCAAATTTTTTCTTAAATTCTTGTTGTAGTGCCATTCTTTAACACTTAATTCTAACTTTCCAAGTTACGAAATGCATACTAAAATACATTTTTATATTAGCTTTGACATCTAGCTTCTCATTCAGTAACATCATTCACCATCTTCAAGAATGTTCTCTAAAACGTGGTGGTTAGTATAAATTCGCTTTTGCCGAATGATTATCCGGATAATCAACGGTTACAACCACTAAATTCTGCTTGTGAGGACATTGTGCTGCTTTTCCAAAATCGATCCCTTAAAAGGTTTGTTTTGCATGATGAGTATAGTAGATTAAATCTATTAACCAAAATTTTAAAAGAAATGAAACAATAAAATGTTATAATTTCAAAACTTGACTGATGATGAGAAGCATTTTTATTTGAGCACAGAATGATGATAATGTATTTTTCATCCGCAAATCGCCAAATCAATTTCTAAATAAGGATAACATACACCCAACCCATCAATAAAACTGGATATTTTCATGATGCTGCGATTTTCACAGAATGTAATAAAAAATTTTTACTTATTTCAACATCTTCGTACCATATGAGTTAATATTATATATTCATTCATAATCATACTGTCATTATACTGTCATTATATTATTAAATTTATAACGAATTTTCTTTATTAAAAATATACAGAGTAGGTAGAAATCAAAAGTTTAAAAAAATTATTCTTCATAGGGGATTGGTAAAAATCATTATAAAAAAAAAATCAAAAAAATAAGAGTGAAAAATTCATTCTTGAAGTGAATAGTTTTTTTCTTCAAATAATGATTAATTTTATTAGTTTTTTTTTTAGAAAAAACATATTTATAAATTTATGATCATTTTTTATTATTATATATTTTATTATTATGTATATATATGTTTATTTATTTATATATTTTTTTTTTTTTTTAACATTAAGTTAAGTTTGGATGGAAAGGTCTGTGTGCATTTCATTATGAAAAACCTTGTCAATCTTGACTAAAGAAATACAAATGAGGAAATTGTTTGCATAAAAAACTTCAACCGTTCTTATATATATGTAAAAAATAAATGTAAAAAAAAAATATATGTAAAAAAAAAAAAAATAAATATTAGCTTTAGTTTTACAAATATATCATTTTTGTTTTCGAATGAATTTAATTGGGTGAAATTAAAAGTGATTATGGATTGACGTGTATTTTGTTTTGTTAAAAAAAATTTTATACATACGTTGTGATACATGGACTCAGCAAAAAAAAATTTTTTCTATTACATTTAAAACAGATAACAAATAAATGATTGAAAAATAGATATACTTATTATGTGTTTTTGCATAATTGATTCTCCGAAATTTTGCTGCAGTGTACCTAATAAAATCTATTTTGAATCTACTAAAACAAATAAACAAAAGGATAAATTTATCAAAGATTCGAAAAATGGACATGGAAAACTTCTTCGTCTTTCTCGATGAATGTACATAATAATGAAAAGAAGTGGTCGAATATAAATGATTGATTCGTGTATAACGATAAAAAAATAATACAATACTTAACTAACCTTACATCACATCATCCACTATATCCCTCCACCCATGACACCATCTAATAAAAGATAATAAAAATAATGAAAAACTTAGTAATAAAGAGGCACACACTGCCAAGGATTGTTTTCGTGAAAGATTAATTGTTTTATTTACATATTTATATAAAACGCGTTTTTTACCAGCGCTTCACTGGAATTTGAATTAATCAATCAATTTTTTTTTGCTCTTATGGCAATCTATTAACAATCTAATGCATACATACAAAACTAGTCTATTAATAATCCATATTCAGGAGAAATTTCCGTTTTTTTTTCAGACCCTATTTTCAGCCCTGTTTTCCACGTGATAAACTTTATCATGCAAATAATAAAATCTAATGAGAGATTTATTTGTTTTTAATGTTTAGTTAGCATGATAAAGATCATTCTGTTTTTTTTTTATTAACAAATTTACAACTAAGAATGCAATGTAAGCCTTTTAACTTTTTTTTTTATTTATTATCATCACATCTTAGATCCAAGACAATAGTCTATTTTATTAAATTCGAAACATATAAATAGGATAGCTGTCCCACTATTACTATCATTAAAAATTTCTAAACAAAAAAATGCAAAGAAAAAATTATCTTGAGAACCAGAAGATATTTGATTATTGTATGTATAAAATCATATAGACAAAAAGCAGTTTAATTCAATATGATAACTGTCATTCTGACTATCAAGAATATCCTTTAAATGCGTTATCATATACATTTTTTCATAACACCAACATAGAAATGTTTCAACTATTATTTAATGATTAGAAAAAATTGTTATGCAAATAACAAAAACATCACATATACAAAGAGACGAATTTAATAAAATTAATCACATTTGAGAAATAAATAGCTAAAAAGTGAAAAGCTTCTTCATCTTTCTCAATGGATACATATAATCAATGAAAATAATAAAAAAAATTGATCATAATACCTAGTAGATGATGAGCCTTCTCATCCACACCAACTCCATTTCAACCATCCCACCCCATCATCATCTAATAAAATAGAAAATAAAAATAAATAAATAAAAATCAGTCATAAAAGAGCTACTACTACATATTGTCAAAGATTAATTTTCATGCAAAATTGATGATAAATTACATATTCATATAAAAAAAAATTAAAGGACATGTTTTTACTATATAATTAATGTTAATGCTTGAACCTTTTTTTGAACCAATCAATTTTTTACAAGTTTTTTTTGCTCTTATAATCAATTAATATTCCATAATCTAAAGTTCTAACTTTTACGCCAAAAAAAATTTAAACATAATTCATGTGGATATGACCTATAAAAAAATTTCTTATACCCAAAAAATAATTAATTGCTATGAAGCAACTAAGTGAACTAACTTTTTCTAAATTAAATAAATGATAGTAGATGATGTTACATTTAGGTTTATTAGAAAAATTTAAATTAACTGATTTGTAAAAAACTACCTCTTGGTGAAGAGAGCTTTGGCCAATTTATCTCAGCTGCAGCAGACACAATCATCCACAACATCCTCGATCAGAATCAAAGCGAAGATTTCCACTTCAATCGCTATATGGTCTTGGTGAGAATGAATATTACAACCACCCTTAAAGTAATTCAGGGATAGCCAATTTCAAAAAAGGTCGAGTCAATAATTTTTTTCAAAATTCACACAAAGGTGACTGTGTAAAAAGAAATTTCCTCCGTAGAATGCCTTCGCACAAAATCCAAGGATTGATATTACCTCACGCAATTGTCAAGATCGATGAAAATATGTTTGTGTTTTCTGGTCAAGTATACGTAGCTATGAGCAGATTGCCTTCTTGGGATTCCGCTTGAGACCTTAGATTTCGACTTTTTTTTTGTATAAAAATTGATCAATCCGTGATTCAAGAATGAAAATCATGGACCAGAGAGGTCTTGACCAAATTAAAAAGTAGCAAAAGCAATTAATTGATATTAATATTTAATTAACACATATTAGAATCTCAAATTAAAATTTTTTTTCTGTATTATATATTAATAATAATAAAGTTTCATGAAAGCTCACGTGCATCCCTTGCTAAAATCTTTTTTATGAATAAAATTGTTTCCATGCTAAAAAAAAAATTTATAACCCCGTTATTAACAAACCTCAGAGTTCTGATAACCAAATGGACAATTAAACCCTATTTTTTAATTTACAAAAGTGCTTTTATGTGAATATATTTATTATTATTATGTGTGAAATTATTTTGTCAC